GTCGCCTCTTACAACACGCATGGCTTACGGAGGAAGAATTCTGGTCCACTTCCCCATGGAGGTAAGTGGAAATAAACAAGAACAAGAACTAGTTAGAAAAATGGAAGAAAACCCAGAGGGGTGTGTATATACATATATGCTTGTACATGTATGTGTAGTGTGACCTAAGTGTAAGTAGAAGTAGCAAGACGTACCTGAATTCTTGCATGTTCATGAGACAGAAAAATGGACACCAGCAATCCTTCCTTCATGTAAAACAATTACAGGTTTCCGTTTTACACTCACTTGGCAGGACGGTAGTACCTCCCTGGGCGGTTGCTGTCTACCAGCCTACTACCTAGGATATATATATATATATATATATATATATATATATATATATATATATATATATATAATATATATATATATATATATATATATATATATATATATATACGTATGGATATGTGTGTGTGTGTGTGACCTTGTGTGTGTATACATATCATATATTAATACTAATAATATTTTTCTTGTTATAATTTCTTATTCTTCAATAAAATGAATATTCACAAGAAAATATTTATCATTACTAAAGTATACAGAATATAAAAGGTATACTTAACATGCAGTTCTCCTCGTACAGGTGCAATATATACATACATTTACCGTACAGTGGCAGAAATTCCCAGGCTCTTCAGGTAGCCACCTGGACGACCCACCGAGGCCTTGTTCTTACCTCTCATCTCCTGCTCTTCCCTGACAAGTTCTCCAGGTATGACAAAAAAAATATGAATTACAAATGAGGCATTCTAAAGTTGTACAATTTATGGTGATAGAAAAAGTTTCAGATAACCACTTAATGGTCCCTTACGGGGATATCTAATAAAACTCACAATTCTATTATTCTAACATTTCACAAGAAGCTACAACCTACAAAAGAGACTTGAAGAGACGTTTCCGTCCATCATGAACTTGATGATAGTCCAGGATAATCCGAAATGACGTCAAAAACTTCTTCTTTAAGTGTGGGTTATATGTGAAATTATTAGAAGAATTAAACATTAATGTCATTTAGAGTGACTGATACTGACAGACACGATAACAAATGTAGGAGAAAGACAACTAAGAGTAAATAACATATCGTCCTTAACCAAGATGAGTGCTATTATGTACCATATTTACAGTGGAGGGGAGATATGTTACAGTTTTTGAACTGAAGTATCAGCTTGCCCCTGGAGCGACGGTGATGGGATGAGTGATGATGAAAGTGTTTCATCTTATTCTGGTCACCCCTGCCTCGGTGGGAAATGGCCGTTGTCTTAAAAAATATTACGGAATATATACTGTAAAATAATATATTAACGAGACACCAGTGAGAACCGTGCACGACCAGACTTGGAGGAAAGGTCGGAAATGTTGTTTAACGTGTCCCAGACATCGCTCCACAACTTTGACCGTTTTCTCGTGATTTGCAGAGCTGTTAGCATAGCAGGTGAGCCTTGTTATACTCTTAACAGCTGTTCCATTGATGTGGAGGGCATTCCTACATGGGCGTGTGAGATGGACCACTGGTAGGGAGGGGATGCCTACGTGGGCGAGAGATATGGACCACTGATAGGGAGTGCATACCTACGTGGGCGTGTAAGATGGTCCACTGGTAGGGAGGGCATGCCTACGTGGGCGTGAGAAATGGACCACTGATAGGGAGTGCATGCCTACGTGGGCGTGTGAGATGGTCCACTGGTAGGGAGGGCATGCCTACGTGAGCGTGAGATATGGACCACTGATAGGGAGTGCATACCTACGTGGGCGTGTGAGATGGTCCACTGGTGGGGAGGGCATGTCTACGTGGGCGTGAGATATGGACCACTGATAGGGAGTGCATACCTACGTGGGCGTGTGAGATGGTCTACTGGTGGGGAGGGCATGCCTACGTGGGCGTGAGATATGGGCCACTGATAGGGAGTGCATACTTACGTGGGTGTGTGAGATGGTCCACTGGTGGGGACGGCATACCTACGCGGGCGTGTGAGATGACCTGAAAATATGTAATGTACTCTTATTGATTTACTGAATTTACAAACTTCTGTAAAAACAAATAAATATACCGTTATGTGAAAACAAAACTTGTTAAACATGGAAACAGATGTTTATGATTACAGTGGTCTGTATTTTGTTTAAAATATTTAATCATCCTAGTCACTGTATGAAACTAGCAAATGAATAATATTCAGATGACTACTGGAAGGACATACGGTTTTATATGTGAAAAGGTACACACTTAGAGGAAACCTGGAGAGGGTTTCGGGGATCAACGCCCTCGCGGCCTGGTGTGAGACTATGCCTCGTGGTGGATTAGGGTCTGATCAACCAGACTGTTACTGCTGGCAGCACGCAAACTGATGTAAGAGCCATAGCCAGGATGATCAGGTACTAACTTTAGGTGCTTGTCCAGCGCCTTCTTGAAGACAGCCAAGAGTCTATTAGTAATCCCCCTTATGTATGCTGGGAGGCAGTTGAACAGTCTTGGGCCACTGACACTTATAGTATTGTCTCTTAGCTTACTCATGGCGCCCCTGGTTTACGTTAGGGGAATGTTGCATCTCCTGCCAAGTCTTTTGCTTTCATAGCGAGTGATTTTCGTGTGCAAGTGTGGAACCAATCCTTCTAGGATTTTCCGAGTGTATATTATCATGTATCTTTCTCGCGTGCGTTCCAGGGAATACGAGTCAAGGAATTTCAATCGTTCCCAGTAATTTAGGTGCATTATCGTACTTATGTCTGCCGAGAAAGTTATCTGTACACTCTCCAGGTTAGTCATTTCGCTTAAATTGAATGGAGCACGTACGTAGACAGCCTCTACTGTCTGCACAGACAGTCTATGCTGTCTGCCAGCTTAGTTCATATTTCGCGGCACTAAGGTGCTGCCCTCTGGGCCAGCCCAAAGTGAGTGGGACACTGGGCCCACACTCTCTCACTCACACAGCGGCCTAGCAGCAAGACACAAGACCTACTAGCTCTCTCCCTCTCGTGGGCACAACACACAAGCCTGTGTACCCACCACGACATTGGCAAAGCAAGAAGAACCCTCTGCAGCCCTATAATTGACTCCACGCCACTGCAGCTCACCAATTAATCTCGTTCATATTGGTAGCAGCGGTGGTCACAGCAGTTGTGTTTGCCCGGAGAGATGAAGGAAGAGGTATGAAATCATCTTCACTTCATCACCATACACTAGTAACATCCGTCTCTCAACGAGTTATCCTGATTTCGTGTCTGCACGTTTCAGCATCCAGGCACAGGTACAAGCCGGAACTAGCCGAAATTTGCTGAATTTCTCCGAGAATTGTAAGTGGCGTCCCAGTGACCCCACGCTACAGCATCCCACGCTGTTTCTCAAGTAACGTGTTCAGCATCACTTGTATGTTCTGCTACTGTTGTTCAGCTCAGCACAGCTATTTCAGCAAGCCAGAGGTGAGTTTTGTGGAGATTTCTGCATCCAGTGTGTCTCCCTGTGTTTGTGGGTGGGGGAGGAGGAGGAGGAAGTGGCCGTTTCCTCGCCTCGCCCATGCTCGCCCTACTCACGCTCACCCGTCTACCATACACTCGCCACTGCCCACTCCCTCTGCTGTGTTTTCTGCTGTTTTTCGTGTGAATTCTTTGCCAGTGCTGTGTATCCGAGTGCCCAAGGCCACTAGAAGTCACGTGGATCAGCAAGCCACGTGGATTAGCAAGCCACGTGGATCAGCAAGCCACATAGATCAGCAAGCCACGTGGATCAGAAAGCCATGTGGATCAGCAAGCCACGTGGATCAGCAAGCCATGTGGATCAACAAGCCACGTGGATCAGCAAGCCATGTGTATCAGCATGCCATGTAGATCACGACACCACGTGGATCCCGATGCCACGTGGGTGTGGACGATGTCACGTGGATCTACAAGCCACGTGAGTTGCCAGATGTCCCAGGCCACATGCTGTGGTCTGCTGCCCGACTTCATGACGTCACGATGTCTGCCTGACGTCACCTCGAGATGTCTGCTGACGTCACAGTGCTGCTGACGTCACCTCGTGACGTTATGTCTGATATCACATGATGTCACATTGAGTGTTCTAGTAATTTTGTCAGTATTGTCGAGAAGATTGAGAGAAGAGATATGTCGTGTGTTAATTAATTCTACTCAGTCAGTGTTCTCATGTGTTAGTGTATGGCTTAGTGTCAATTTTGTTCACAGAAAACCATCATTTGCTAGTTTAAGCCATGTTGTACCGCATGTACAGCGGGTGTGTGTAAAGTTTTCCGTGTGTCCAGTGGTCTTGAGCCAGACCCCTGAGTAGCACCACTGTGTTAAGTCACCTGGTGTGACCAGCGCGTTTGACAGCTGATGTTACTCAGCCCCGAGCGACCGAGCCCCCTTGTACAGAAAGCTTTTATTGTTTGCCACTCGTGATGTTCTGCAGAATCGTACCTGCTACGATTCCCATCGAGATTTGTTTCACTTCACCTCCAGACCTTCAGAGTGCAGTTATATGTAGAGAAACAGGTCTGGGGATGCTTAGACTAACCTCTGCTATAACTCCAACTGCTGAGAGAATGACACTCGTCAAGCCGCAGTTAGCCCTGTCGGCAGGCGCTGTGTCAGCCTCGTGTCACAAGCTTCAGTGAGCTCCTGCTCAAAGAAGATGTCACTTTGACTGCTAGCTCGCTCACTGCAGTTTGGTGTATGATGTTACGACTCCCGGATATTTCACCCAGTCGTCTCTGCCACGACTCGCTTCACGACTCACTCCATGCTCTCTGGCAGTGACAGCCCAGCGACAGTACCAGTCGAGAAGTGTCCTCCTGAGTTGCTTGCCAGAAATCCTGCCCAGTTGCCGAGTTTTGACGGCGTCTCACTCGAGGGAACCAGCAGGCTGTGCCCCAGGTTGAGTGAAAACCTGCAGTGACTCCTACGATGGCTGTTTCACCGTTCTAGAGAAGACCGTACCTCGTTACGTCACAGCTCAGCCGCAGCGATGTCTCCTGTGTTGTAGTATCTGTCCAGACACAGGAAGGCGTGCAGTGATGCCCTTCGATGCTCACTGCCTATGACCACGATGTTTCTCGCACCCCACATTTTTTCCATGTCTATATGTATATACATGTTTTTTTATTTGTGTTCTGTGCCCTGTTCCTATGAGAGAGAGACCGAGTTTTTTTTACCACCAGCATTGTCGCATCGGGACGACGCGAGGGGTGGCCGAGTGTATGTAGACTGCCTGTACTATCTGCATAGACAGCCTATGCTGTCTGCCAGCTTAGTTCATATTTTGCAGCACTAAGGTGCTGCCCTCTGGGCCAGCCCAAAGTGAGTGGGACACTGGGCCCACACTCTCTCACTCACTCAGCGGCCTAGCAGCAAGACACAAGGCCTACTAGTTCTGTCTCTCTCATGGGCATGGCCCTACCGGGCCATGGGCACAACACACAAGCCTGTATACCCACCACGACATTACAAATAAAGTAAGAAGCCTCCGAAGACGAATCATTCACTCACCCACTACCAGTTCACCAATTAATCTCGTTCACAGTTAGTGAACTGCAGTATTCCAGCCTAGAGAGAACAAGCGAGGATCATCATGGGCTTGGCGTCCTTAGTTTTGAAGGTTCTCATTATTCATCCTATCATTTTTCTAAGAGATGAGGTAGATACATTGTTGTGGTCTTTAAAGGTGAGATCCTCTGACATTATCACTCCCAGGTTCTTCACATTACTTTCTCGCTCTATTGTGAAGTTAGAATTTGTTGCATACCCAGTTACAGTTTTAATTTCCTGAAGTTTTCCATATTCGAGTAGTTGAAATTTCTCTTCAGTGAACTTCATATTGCTTTCAGTGGCCCATTTAAAGATTTGGTTCATATCCACTTGGATGGAGGTCACTGTCATGGCAATATGAGTATCATCTGCAAAAGAACACATGGAGCTTTGGCTTACATCTTGGTCTATGTCAGATATGAGGATGAGGAATAGGATGGGAGCGAATACTGTGCCTTGTGGAACAGAGCTTTCACTGTGCCCTATTTCACCGAAGGCTTTCGCAAAGTCTGTGAATACTGCATCTGCATTCAGTTTATTCTCTATAGCATCCAGGACCTTGTCACAGTGGTCCAGCAGCTGGGACAAGCAGGAGCGATCTTCTCTAAACCCGCGTTGCCCTAGGTTGTGTATTTGATGGGTATCTAGGTGGTTGGTGATCTTGCTGCTTAGAACTCTCTCAAAGATTTTTTTTGATATGGAATGATAGTGCTATCGGTCTGTAGTTCTTTGCAATTCCTTTACTGCCACCTTTGTGAAGTGGGGCTGTGTCTGTTGTTTTAAAAAGTGTTGGCTGACCCCTGTGTCTATGCTCCCTCTCCACAGAATGCTGAAGGCACGTGACAGGGGCTTCTTGCAGTTCCTGATGAACACGAAGTTCCATGAGTCTGGGCCTGGGGCAGAGTGCATGGGCATGCTATTTATTGCCTACTTGAATATTATTCTGAACATAATGCTATGGTTATATAAGTTTGAAGCATTCTATGTAAAATCTAGCCACTCTTGAGTCATCCATTTTATCGTGTCAGGGATTTAAGTAATGTTTATTAACTGATGTTAGTGTCATTCATGTTTTTTGGCAAAGTAATTGATAAATGTAGATATATATGGAATAAATTTAATTATATTTATTGTGATCAAATTTCATATTGACAGTAGAGAGGTAACACAACATATATCGATACCTAAGATAATTTAACAGCACCAATACAGTTGAATTATAATAAAAAATCTCAGAGAAATAAACCAAAATATTTTTAGGAAATTTTTGATCAGTAACATGAAAATAGTTTAAGAGAATAATAACAACTTTTGATTTAAATAGATATATTACTTATAGTATCGTCATACGATTTTTTCTCTCGTTAGATTCCTTCACCGACCAACTCTTCAGGTGGCCACAGAAGTCAACCCACTGAACGTACTGACTGACGAGGAGGAAGCTTCTGTTCCCTCAGGAAAAATACTCAAGTTTAAAGGACCAGCGGCTGAGGTTGTGTCATATCTCTCAGAGGGAGTTAACTTCTCGTAAGTGACAATGTTATTCTGGCTAAGTTTATAGGTAAGCAAGGACGATTTATTACCAGAACATTTATGCCTTTCTTGTAAAGAATTTTGAACTGGAAGATACTATATATTTTAAACGTCTTTAATTTATGAATTCAAGGAATATTCAGGTAAACTTTAAATCCCTTTTAATGACGAATGAGTGAAATGCTTTCATTAATTTTTCGGAGTATTATCTCCATGACTCCAATATTATTAGTAATGTTATAACAACAAAATTATTTATTATTTTTAATAATAATGAGAGTTTTATTAAAAATTATTATATTATTATTACTCTTATTATTATTAAGAAATATTATTATTTTATCACAATAATAATATCAACATTATTATTATTGTTATTATCATAATTATAATCCTGCTTCCCGAACCAAAGAATAAAAAATGATGTACAATAAATAGCATATAAGTACATGTAAATAATTGTCTGTTTCTTCCAGACTCTACTACCACTAGCACTGTGCTAGTTATTGTAATGGAGTAAAATACTGTCAGCAGAAATACTGTCAGCAGAAATACTGTCAGCAGAAATACTGTCAGCAGATAATACTGACCGCGAGCTATTTATGCAGTCTTCACTGCTGTACGGAACAACAGAATTTACTTCAATGGTTCTCATTCATCAGAAAATGTGCCACCTACTTTGTCTTCCAGTATACACACATTATTATACAGTTGTTCAGAAAAGAAACCATACCCCGGCCGGGATTGAACTCGCGGTCAGAGAGTCTCGAAACTCCAGCCCGTCGCGTTAGCCACTAGACCAGCTAGCCACAATAAGATTCGTCCAACTAGGTATATTTCTACACCATAGGAAGGTGTAGAAATATACCTAGTTTGACGAATATTATTGTGGCTAGCTGGTCTAGTGGCTAACGCGACGGGCTGGAGTTTTGAGACTCTCTGACCGCGGGTTCAATCCCGGCCGGGGTATGGTTTGTTTGCAATCGTGTCATTACGATTTCGTGAGTCACAGTTGTTCAGTATTGAAACCTCTACGGTTAAAAAGACTCTCATTAGTGTATTTCTTGATGTGCAATGGATATTTGGTGCTGTGTGCTCAACACATATAGGTGAGTACAAATCGGAAGCACGTCTGTTTCGCGCTCAGCAGACGGAGGATCAAGCCTCCACCACCTCTTGCGCTAAATGACCTACATGGGTTTAGCGCTTAACATGAATTAATTCCTTTGTGTGCTCAACGACTAAACATTTTTCATAACACAGATGTTAGGTTCTAGTAAAGGACATTGATGCCATCTTCAGATGACATCCATTGTCATGCACACTCGGTATTACGTCATCAGAAAAACAGAGGCAATTATTTATAGTAAAGGACATTGATGCCATCTTCAGATGATATCCATTGTCATGCACGCTCGGTATTACGTCATCAGAAAAACAGAGGCAATTATTTATATTTAAACATGTTATTTAATATATCTCTAATAGTGATTATTAGAAGAATATATGTAGCTGAAACGAATATATCATGCGATATAGTATGATTATTATTATCTATGCAGGCAATCTCGAGAGTTTTGATAGGTTGTCCTGTGCTTCTTCTTCTTGATTCGCCGGTACTCTCCCGGCCCGGGCATTTTCCAAGTGGTGACCCAGTCTTGGCTCTCTTTCTCGGGAGCATCTCAGACAAATGTCTGCCATGGGAGGAGGTGCAAGTACCTCCTCATCTTCGGGACCAACTGTCACCAGGCCTAGCCACATTCCCCGCTCACACGGGGCTCGTAGGGAGAAGCTAGGCCTCTCTGGTCTGCCATCCCCACCCCAAGGGGGCTAACGGGAATGGCAGTCTTGTGAGCTGCAATCTCTGGCTCAGTCACCTACCCTACCCTAGAATAGCTGGGCATGGTGTCGATCTGCCCTGTGCTGGTAAAGAGTTTTTTTTTTTTTTAGAACCTCAGAATGCATCAGCATGGCCTCGTGCCTCCAGACGCTGAATCAGCTTGAGAAGATAGTCATTTTTCTATGCTCTTGTCATGCAGATATAGTTTTATGGTAGCATATTATCTCATTATCTCTGTGGAAGTCTGTTCCCTGAGTTTTATTTAGAGTTAGCGATTTTTGACAATTGTATTGTTATGTTGAGTCACTGAGCATGATTCAGGTCCCAAGTCGAACTCTCGAGTTACTTTGCTCTGACTGGGACTGGAAGTTGCTGAACTCAGATTCGGTAATTTAAGAGTTTTTACCTTTTTATGGAGGGCTTGTTCTTTGTCCTCAGTTAGATCGGGATCCTGAGTTTCTTCCTTATGTGACCCAGTGCTGCTCATGAACTGCTTTATGTAGTTTGTTGTTCAACAAACTGGTCGATGTCTTGACAAACAAGCTGGTCTTAGTTTTTCTTTGTTGGTCAGAAGTTAGTTTATTTACGGAAATGTTAGGCACTACTCATACTCACACACATTACTTTTTCTAGTACGCTTGAGTACAATGTCGTACACTAATGTGCCACATAATGCACTTTTTTAAAGTATAATAATATTTAAATTAATGTACATATATACTGAATAGTCATAACAAAATTACAGACATAAAACACCTAGTGGTTTGAAGAGGATAAATTCCAGCATTATTATTTTTTATAACATTTATTAACCCTAGACATCGTTTTTCAGTCAGTAAAGGTATTAAACTTTTTAAAGCTAATATAAATTCTTCCTACTGTAATCCTATTACAAAATCCTTAGCAATGACGCAATGTTTAGGATAACTGGTCCAACAGACATAATATTGGCAAATTTGATACATGCCACAAAGAGGCTAAATGCTATATGGACATCAGTAGGTTGGCCTAACTTTTTTTGGAAGATGTCTTTACTATAAATATTGCATTTTGCATCAGTAAAGGAGGTGGTCGTGGAAGAGGTGGTAGTGGGTGTGGTGGATCTCGTCGTGGTGGTGGATGAAGTGGAGGTGGTATTGTTGGAGATATTGATTGGCGGTGTGGAAATTGTGGAAGTATCAGTTGTGGTCGTGATGATGGTGTTAGTAGTAGCTGTGACAGTGATGGAGGCTGAGGTCTTAGTGGTAGTGGTGGTGGCGGTAGTCCTGATGTGTAAAGGTGATTATGGTGATAGTAATGGTAGCAGTAATGGCGGTGGTCTTGGTAAAGGTGGTAGTAATTGTCGTAGCTGTGGTGATCTGCTGTGCTAAATAAAGGATGTGGTGATGGTGGTGCTGGCGGTGGTGACAGGTGGTTTTGTGTGGAAATAAAGAAGATAACTTGAACAGGAGTTTAATGACGGATGAATGCTGGCGGATAGAGTTTGAGGTGGCGGCGAGAGCCACAATAAACCAAACATAAGAGATTATCTCCCAGACATCAGATGTTTTTCCTCTAACTTTCTGTGACTATTTGCACCTTTTAAAACTGAATTTATCATTATGTACTAGTGAAATGAAATGCTTTAATAAACCGAGACTAGAATGGATCCCTCTTCTCTACAGGTACTTGTACGTGAGGCCGCCAGATAGTTCTTGGGGAATTAAACGCGAAGATGGAACCTGGTCAGGGATGGTAGGCATGGTCGTCAGTCAGGTAAATCTTTATCCCTGCATTAAAAAAGTAGAGTAATACAAGGAAAATGCATTAATATCTGAGGTGTAATATTTAAGGTGAATGTCTAAAGAATACTGTGGAAAATTACATTTACCTGGATGAATTTCATTAGATACATACCAGTAAATGGTAACAAAGATAATTATTATTTATCAAAGTTACAGAGACAAGTAGGAATTTTTAGGACACCCAGGTCGCAAAAATGTCCCCCTTCGATACTTACCATAATCTATCTCTCCACAAATTGCTCTAGACCTTTATTAATTGCTAATCAAATGTACATCACCAGGAATTCTGGTAAAATTTAATATAAATTTGTGGACTGTATATTAAAATTAATAAATGATTACATATACACATTTATATAACAGAAGGAGAATTTATAATCATAACACTCACCAATTTGTCTGGAGATTACTGTGTATAATACTCAAAAACCTCCCTGTCTATATTTATGAAAATATTACTGGCCAGAACTAAACATAAATATAGACATCTTATCTGAGGTTCCTGGAGCTGTCCTGTCCATCTGCTTAATGCTCAAATTATGCAGGACTGCACATCCAACAATTTCAGTTCCTATTTGAGAGGTTTTAAGCCCAATATAACCCCTAGAGCGACGAAAATTAAGCACATTACACTAGCGTGCCTGTATCACATTCAAAAAAACAATGGTGACCTTGGCTCCAACAACGCTTCTCTCCATCGCTGGTTCCATTTCTCGTTTACAAATTAATTTTTATTAAATACAATGTATTGCACTAATTTTCATAAAAAATACGCTGGATTTTTTCGGAAAATGCATTATTTTCCACAAATATTGTGCCATACAAGACCGCTATTATTTAATTATGCTTAATAAAAATGTGATCTGGATTATTATACAACAACTAAAACTATATATTTTTGAGATTTACAACGGAGTTGTAGGAAATTTTGCATGTACATATATTGTGTGTCAACATAAGATGACTCTCTCTGAGACATCATCTATGATTTATCGGAAACCTAACGTCTACCCTCATGCACTTCCTCTTCACCAAAGCTCTCCTCACAGATCATAAATTATACCACTTTCCAGAAAAATATATTAGTAAAAATCGTAATACTGTAATGTTCGTAAACACACGAAAGAAAATATATTGATATGGTTGTCTTTGCCCTGCGCTATCACCTAATGTTTACAGGCAAGCTTCCTTATATATATTGACCATGTTTACCTCTCTTTAAATATGTATAGAAGTGTTGGCTAATTGATGTCGGTCGTATTATGGAGAGGTAACGATAGAATGCCGTAAATAAAAGCGTGCATTGAAGCAAGATAAGGTAGCAGATCTCAGCTCTAATTTGCAAATTCAACTGTATGAAAGTCTAACTCGTGAACACTCAAAGTACTCACGAGAATTAACCTGGACACTCTGAGTGTAAAACATGAGAAACTCTAAATTTCTCGCTGGAATGTTCAAGTGCCCCATGGTTTAAGTTACTGAACCCATCCCACCAACCTGGAATGACTTGAATAACTTCCAAAACCCTTGATGGCGTTGCTTCATATGTTCGAAAAGGTTGTTCCTAATCCGATGACGGAGAGTGAAATTTGAGTGTATATTAGTGCGAAATTTTTATTCCCGTTAAATACCCCCCCCCCCAAAAAAAAAAAAAATCAGTATACTTAATCTGAATGCTTTTAGTATTTTATAGACTGATAACATAATATACTCATCAAGTTTTGTTTGTGCACAAGCCTTTTTTTTTTATTGAAGTAAAATACGTAATTGGAATTCATCTTATAACTCGATATTTATTCACCTGATCGGTTTTAAATAGTTACCATTGTGTTGTTTTCTACCAACAAGATTTATGTTGTTATTGGCTGGTATTAGCCCCAATTTACCAAGTTTATGAAATTAATAGTGATATACATTTTTATTTAATAACTTCTTCTGACTGGCTTAAAAATATTATTGAGGATGCACTCTTTCAGATTATTATTATTATAATCAAGGGGGAAGCGCTAAACCCGGAGGATTATACAGCGCCTGGGAGGGGGATGTGGAAGGCATTCAGGTTTAATTCGGGGAACTGGAGCACAGATCCAATTCCCTAAATCAAGAGCCCCTCACCAACATCAAGGAACCTTCCTTGAGTATGCACTCTTTCAGAAGAATGATTCTTCATTATTTAAGTCTGAGTTGGAAACAGTTCTGAAATTTTACATAAAATTGTTATTACCTTGGAGTCGATGGAACCGCATCATTTACCAGAGAACACTTTTTCTGATAGCCTTAAAACTTTTAGCATTGTCTTGCTTGATTAAAACACACTTAATCACTCACTTTGAGCTGTGCAAGTTTCATTTTTGCCAATTTTATTAAGCGATTTTTTTTCTATGCTATACACAGAAAATACCTGTTGTCACTGTCTTCCAATGGTAAAGGCTGGTGTATCATAATTGGAAGAATTTTCTTTTAACAGTTTTGGGTTGTGTGCCAATTGACAATTTCCTTGCCAACTTTATCAAACTGTATTTCCTTTGAAAAATTAAAAAATGAAATATTTTTTATATTACAGGTTTCTAGTGAATTTTACGTGTAATGAAATGAGCAACAAAACTGTAGAAAAATAATATTGTCGTTTTTACTGTAATTTTAGTAAAAGTTGGAGAAACTCCAGCTTCGGGAACAATTATTGTTGTGTGGAGAAGTGCAGACGTGGGGGGATAAACTTCCGTTTCTGTCGAACATTCGGGTGAAATTGCTGTGAATAAGTGACAATGGCTTCCATAAGATTAACTGAATCAGTTACCAAACAAAAACTGTCTAGACAATATACCCTGGTGGGAAAATGAGTAAAATAATATCTGAAGTGCTGTTGTTTAAGAGTGTACAGAATATTCCTTGTGTTCCCACGCAAGGAGTAGTTTTTTGTGTATATACGGATATTATGAGAGGTGAATACGGTAAGGCAACATGGAGGAGAGAGCCCGATGTTAATGATCAAAAGAATAAGTCTAGTGAAAAAAATAAAAAAAATTAGTCTGGAATAAAAAATAATTTGTGGAATACCACGAGTGGAAATATTGGTGACATAGGCCTATCTTTAGAGTCTGCAGAGCTAAAGGGAAGAATTTAAGCAAGTGAACAGTGTACATTGCAGTCACAATTATATTACCCCGAGACCAGTGGTCAGGGTTGTATAAGCCGTCAGCTTAACTCTCCATAAGTCCCTCAACTTCAACGCTGGAGTATAGTTATAACCATATAATGGGGTGTTACTGAGTAACATAAAATAGTGAAGAAAACATTAGAAGGTATCAGTAGACAAAAGTGAGGCAAATAACTGTATGTTACGTGTCGGGTATATGGTGAAGGAAGAAGAGAGGAAATTATTGCCTGGCAGTACTGCTGGACTTATTACTACGAGTGCCAAGATCAGTTTAATTATGTTTATAACAACGCTCACAAGCAGTGTCCTGAATATGTTGCTACCTAGTTTGTCGAGGTTAGGAACTAAAACCTGTATGGTACTAGGAGAAGCAAACACAATATTTTTTACCTACAGTAGGTGATCAGGGCTCAGACACTTTTTATTATACAGCAAGGAAAGAGTGGAATGGATTTCATGCACGTGTCAAAGCCTATCCTAGCATGAGCCAGTTCAGGAAGAAATCTAAAAAGTACCTAATGAATGAAGCTACAAAAGGGGCCTATTATGGTAGGCTAATCCTCTCTGTAATGGTTCATGGAAATAATTCGGTTCACTTTATCTTATTTATCTCTTTTTACTGTAAATATTTTTCACACAGTTTAGTTACGTACCTGTTATAATTTTTAAGTTATAACCATGACGGGATTTCTACTGTAACTTACAACTAGGATTTCAACAAGATATTACAAGAACCCCTGTGGAAATAAGTCATTTTCTCTGATATTTTTGGGTTATTCTAGGTAATTTACATGTAAGTTAATATGTATGATAAACGAACTTATGTGTACATGTACCTAAATAATCTTCCTTTCTTTTCAAAATTCTCATTCTGAACAAATTTCCATAAATCTTGCCCGATAAACGTGCGTTTCGTGAGCTTAAACTTTAACAAAACCTTAAACCAGTCAAAATCGATTGATAAAATTTAAACAAACTGCTTCATTATATCACGTTTTATGCATTGAGACATATTTGTTTTTAACAACACTTGGTCATTGTTTCTGGGACCAGAATGGACTATTTATTCTGTTATGCCATTCATACAAGAAAAGCAGAAACGTTATTTATTGGGACGTTGACCCCGGAAATCCTCTCCAGGTATCAGCAATATATAAATTACATTGAAACATCCAGCATACCCAGATGCTGTAATTCATAGTAGCTTACATGTTCTCCTGGACCCGCCCCCAGGATGAATCTCACCATTTTGTTCTGAGTGATTTGTGTTTGATGAAGAAAGGAGCATTGATTCCCTTCAAAGATACTATGAAACAGTTTTAAAGTAACAAAGACCCAAGCCATAAATAAACCATGAGCTAAATGTTGGAGAAGCTCAATACATTGGGATGTATTATGACTCTCAAAGTATATTTCATGGATGCTCTTTTCGACTACTTTCCGGAAAATGTGGAAGCTGCAGTGTAAGGTCAGGTGAAATGTTTCACAAGTGAAATGTTTCACAAGTGAAATGTTTCACAAGTGAAATGTTTCACAAGGATATATAAAAGTTGGAGAGAAGTACCAAGATAAACGGCGAGTCAACATGATGGCAGACTGCTGCTGGATGTCCCACAGAGAGACATCACTACAAAATGCATAAACGGAGTAATAACCATCTCAGTTTTGAAAGAAAATATAAAAAAAAAATTAATGAGGAGTCTCGTCTCATTAGTTGTAAATATTATAAGTATTTTAAATGTACTTGGTTAAAACTTTAATTATTACACATTTTTAATCATTTCTTTTATTTGATAACGTAGTAGTTACATAAAAGATAAAACAAAAAACTTATATGGAATCAAAATAACTGAAACAACTTTTATCTTGTCATATTTTTTTAAACCTGTGTAAGGGATTTAGAATCACGATGATCAAATTTCCCACAGAAGTGTTATCTATAATGCTTCATATAATTTTGTGAAGCGAATGTTGTATAAGAACAAATGTATCTTAATTATTTACTTGTAATCGTGTTTCCTGTGGTTTATCATTTGCAGGAAGTAGATTTTGCAGTTGGTCCATTCGGTATTAGTGAACTTCGAGCTGAGGTGGTTGACTTCACCGAGGCAATATTTATAGACTATTGGAGGATTCTGGGTGCTCGAGGACGTCCTGAGGTAGACCCTTGGGGCTTCCTCTTCCCACTAACGCCAGTGGTGTGGGCGGCCATCCTAGTGGCGCTGCTGGTGCTTCCTGCTGGAGTGTTATTTATGGCCTCCCACTTCCCACTTAAGACCGACAATCAAAATAATATGCTCCCAGATACATCTTCCTACTTGCGTGTTTTGTTGCAACAAGGTAAGTTTTATAATAAACACGAGTATGGAGACAACTCCATCTATGTTACCGAATATGAATCACGTCTCTTGTTCTGGGATTAATATGTAAAACTGGAGTACAATTATTTACGGTTAAGTGAACCCAGGTAAGAAAAGCTGGGACTGAGACAGATGTTAAAAACTAATGAGGAATTGATGTCTTTGTTTAGAACATGCATGGAAGAACGGAAAGTACTTAAAGAATGTCGAGAGAGCATGCATAGTTCATTTGTGTATGAGAAACTGGGACAATACTGTAAGAATAATAGGAAAGTAAGTTGCACTAGTATAACTGGTTAAGTGGATGTTAGAGTAATTATCTTCCCTCGGCGGGGGACCTTTTAAGTATTAATCGGATCTTTCTTCAACAAAGTTTTTACGATTTCGCACAAAATTAGAGAAGGCTTTACCATACTGGTTTAACATTTTTAATGCTGCAGTATGGTAATTAGGGCAAGTTCTTTGAATAATTGGCATCGGCAATTGCTTTTTGACCAAAGTTGTTGAACCTGTTTCCAGCCTCCTGGAATGGCTCTGATAATAAAATTCAAATGTGTAAAATCATAATTGTCCTTTTTATATATAAAAGAGAGTGATTTTTTTTCCTTGTTAAATCAGGGTAAATAAATTTTAGTCTTCCTCTTCTGCCAACATCAATATGTAATAAATAATGCATTTTAAGGCCTGGTGTTACAAAATGTGACATCTGGTAAGTGAAGATAATCTCAGAGAATACTAGATGGTCGACTTGTTGATCTACATTTAGTCATCTAACTTGTTAATGGTTTTGTAACGGTTTGAGAGATATAAAACATACTAAATAGAGCAAAGTGGGAGTTCCCAACATAATAACCTGGATTTTGCTATTAACCTGTCGAGTGTTGGGCTTACCAGGGACCAATAGACAGCTCTAGGATATGGATTAAGTTTCGCGCCTACTAATGGGGCATTATGTTGTCCTTACATGGAGTATACCTGGAGGGTGTTCCGCGGATCAATGCCCCCATGGCCCGTTACATGATCAGGTTTCACGGTGGATCAGGGCCTGATGAACCATGGTGATACTGCTGGCCACACTTAAACCGACGGGTCAGGTACTGACTATAGTTGTCTGTCCTGCTCCCTCATGAAGACGACCAGGGGTCTATTGGTAATCTCCTTTTTCTATGCTGGGAGGCAGTTGAACAGTCTTGGGTAATCTGGAGAAAACAAGGGGGTTTATCCCCAGAAACGTTCGACATTTGGAAAGGCATGGTATACAGGGCTTTGCTCAGACCTGAGGAACCAAACTGTCGTCAAAGATTTGTTATGTCATATCATGAAATAAGTTAATACCCTATACTTCACTTTACGATAGGAGACAAAGCAAATGCGAGAATAATTATGCATAAGGTAGATTATATTGGAAAAATGAACATGATTTTAGAAGACAGGGAAACATACGTACCCTTAATAAGAACCCTAAGGATCAAGTTAATATTAAGTTTAATTAATAACTTCTAACCTAATGGAGAGGAATTGATTATCAACTAGATATCAACTAGATCGGATACACTCCATTATATGTATGGTTTCATAAAATCCGCTAAGTCCAGTTTTCCAGGATGACCTATTATTCGCTTGGTGGAACTGGTTACTTACGCCTTCTTAAAATGGTTGGTAAAAACTTTACCTCCAGTACATAGCAACATCTCGGAAAAAAATGTTAACATTAACGACTTTACACTAGTAAGTTTTGACGTCACGGTGTTGTTCACCCGAGTGCCTGTTGCTGATTTATTATCTTACCTGGAACAAGAATTAAATGAGTTCCCCATGCCATTCGATAAGAACAATATTACTAAGATTATTAACCTGAGTGTAGCTGATTGCAAGTTTGACTTTCATGAGAAATATTAAGCTCAAAGGCAGGGAATGGCTATGGGAAATCTATTGTCTCTCCAATAAAGCAATCTGTATGTGGAGCGTTTTGAGATTAAGCTGTTTTAAAATATCCTACCCCGTGTAGCTAAGTGATTCAGATATGTGGATGACATCTTGTGTCTTTGGCCGAATTATTTTGACATGAACACATTTTACCGAGACTTGACTCTCTCTTGTCCCATCAATACATAGAGTATACCGGGAAAGAGTTCCGGGGGTCAACGCCCTCGCGTGCTGGTCCGTGACAAGGCCTCATAGTGGATCAGGGCCAGATCAACCGGGCTGTTACTGTTGGCCGCACGCAACCCGACATACGAACCACAGCCCACTGGTCAGGTACTGACTTTAGGTGCCTGTCCAGTGCATGCTTAAAGACAGCCAGGGGTCTATTGATAATCACACTTTTGTATGTTGGGAGGCAGTTGAACAGTCTTGGGCCCCTGACACTTACTGTGGTCTCTTATCGTGCTAGTGGCACCCCTGTTTTTCATTGGGGGTATGTTGCATCGTCTGCCGAGTCTTTTGCTTTCATAGTGAGTGATTTTCCTGTGCAAGTTTGGTACTAATTCCTCTAGGATTTTCCAAGTGTATATAAACGTGTATCTCTCCTGCCTGCATTCTAGGGAGTACAGGTTGAGGAACTTCAAGCGTTCCCAGTAACTGAGGTGTTTTATCGCAGTTATGTTTGCCGTATAGGTTCTCCGTACATTTTCTAGGTCAGTAATTTCACCTGCCTTGAAAGGCGCTGTTAGTGTGCAGCAATATTCCAGCCTTGATAGAACAAGCGACCTGAAGAGTGTCATCATGGGCTTGGCATCCTCGTTTTTGAAGGTTCTCATTTTTCTAGCAGATGCGATTGATACAATGTTATGGTCTTTGAAGGTGAGATCCTCCGACATGATCACTCCCAGGTCTTTGACGTTAGTTTTTCGCTCTGTTGTGTAGTTGGAATTCGTTTTATACTCCAATGAAGTTTTAATTTCCTCACGTCTTCCATATCGGAGTAATTGAAATTTCTCATCATTGAACTTCATATTGTTTTCTGCAGCCCATTTAAAGATTTGGTTGATGTCCAACTGGAGTCTTGCAGTGTCTTCAATGGAGGACACTGTCATGCAAATTCGGGTGTAATCTGCAAAGGAAGATGCGGCACTGTGGCATTTGCCCCTGTCTATGTCACATATGAAGATGGGAGAGAGTACTGTGCCTTGTGGAACAGAGCTTTTCACGGTAGCCGCCTCAAACTTTGCTCTGTTGACTACTACTCTTTGTGTTCTATTTGTTAGGAAATCATAGATCCATCTATCAACTTTTCCTGTTATTCATTTATCACGCATTTTACACCATGGTCACACTTGTCAAAGGCTTTTCCAAAGTCTGTGTATATTACATCTGCATTCTGTTTGTCATCTAGAGCATCCAGGACCTCGTCATACTGGTCCAGTAGATGGGACAGACAGTAGCTTTAAACCCATGCTGTCCTGGCTTGTGTAACTGATGGGTCTCTAGATGGGTAGTGATCTTGCTTCTTAGAAGCCTTTCAAAGATTTTTATATGAAACGTTAGGGATATCAGTCTGTAGTTCTTTGCTATTGCTTTATTGCCCCCTTTGTGCAGTTGGGCTATATCTGTTATTTTCAGTAGCTGTGGGACGACCCCAGTGTCTATGCTTCCTCTCCATAGGATGTAAAAACACGTGATAGGAGCTTCTTGCATTTCTTCATGAATACGGAGTTCCATAAGTGTGAGCCTGGGGCTGAGTGCATGGGCACGTCATTTATCGCTTTCTCGAAGAGCATGTTGATCAAGAATTCCCCAAAACACTGTGCAGGTGGTTCAAAAAAAGG